TTTTTTTTTTTTTCATAGGCACTTGCTATGTAGTTCAGGCTGGGCTTGAGCTTCTGGCGATCCTCCTGCCTCAGCCTCCCAAGTGTTGGGATTACAGGTGGGCACCACCATGCCTGGCTAGTTATTTATTTTTAAATTTTCTTTTCTCTTTTTTTGTAACACTGAGAATTTTACACTGAAGTAGAGAAATTTCATACCAAACAGGTCACATTTCCAGTCTGTTATCTTGTACTTGGTCTTATATATCTACACAACCTGAAATACTTAGATGTTATAAATTCAGCGATCATTGTATGTTGTAAGGAACTCAAGTATACAATATTATGGACTAGTACAATACATTAAATATGTGCCATTTCTGTTACTTTCTCTTTATTACTAATATTCAAGTTATAATATCTTGTTCAAAAGTAAAACTAGTAATTTATTTAAAGGAGGTCTTCAGGTCCTCAAGCAAAGACTCTTAGTAGTATTACATCATCTGATAATTCCTTTTTTTTTTTTTGATTATACTAGAAATTGAAACCAGGGTCTTCACACTGAGCTTCCTTAATGCTTTCTTGTATTTTTCATTCCGAAACAGGGTTCTGCTAAGTCACTAAATTGCTCATACTGGGCTTAACGTGGTCACCCTCCTTCCTCAGCTTCCCAAAGCGCTGGGATTTCAGGCGTGCACCATCATGCCTAGCTTTTATTTCTTGTGGGTGGAGATGGGACCTAGGGCCTTGTGCACACTAGGCAAGCACTGAGTGCTGAGTTAGGCACCCGGGTTGATGGAAATCTCTTATAGAGGCCTCCATAAGGTGCAGATACTCCTTTTGTGGGCTTCATCAATCAGCCATGTGGGTGGAACTGCAGCTACCTCCTAGGGGCTGTGGCAGGCACCTAGCTGCACAAACAAGTTCTACAGCTGTATGGAAATGTATTTTGCCAAGTACAAGATTAAGTGGAGAGATAGTATCTTCCCTAGGTAAGCGCCTTGGAACAGCCACGTAAGCATGCAGCGCCACCAATGCCTTGACTGTTCCTTGCTGAGAAACTGAGAAGACCATCTACTTAAGGTGTTTCTGGACTTTCTTACTGAAAAAAAGTAGGGAATAAAAAGTATATGCTGTGCGCTGGGAGTGTAGCTCTATGATAGAAAGTGTGCTTAACGTACAAGAGGTCCTGGATTCAATCCCCAGGAAAATAAAAGCGGGGGGGGGATGTATTGTTTTAAGCCTCTAAATTTATTATAACTTTTAGGAAACAACAGATTAACAATTTTCCTCTTAAAAAAAGAGAGAAAAAGAGACCAGCCATTGTGGTACACACCTATAATCCCAGTACTTGGGAGGCTGAGGCAGGAGGATCGCCAGAAGTTCAAAACCAGCGTCAACTACGTAGTGAGTTCAAGGCCAGCCCAAATTACAGACTATGACCCTGTCTCCAAAACACACACACACACACACACACACACACACACACACACACACACCAAACCACAACCACATTCTAAGGAGGTCTAAATTCCTCCCTTGCGAAGAACCGGCATTCCTCTTCATCTGGCTTGATTCACTCAACGATATGTTAATGAAATTACTTCTGATTTATTCCTTAATTTATACAGTGTTGGCGAACCTATTGAGAGACAAGTGCCCAAAGTGCAACCCCAAACCCACTTCTTTATTGCAAACTGCCAACAGCGCACTTAAACCTGAATACTGAAGTTTTAGTTTAGAAAAAAAAACAATTCGTACATGAACACCTTTTTTATCTGAAAAGAAAAACAATACATGTGCCATAGGTTCACCACCACTGCCGTGGAGTATTCCAATTTACCCACTTTTCTTGGATCTGCCTTTGGGTTTTTTTTTTAACTCACGCTCCCCCGCCCCACGATCTTGCAATGCACTCCAGGACTGGACTCACTACATAGCCCCAGTGGGGCCTGTAATCCCCATGGCTCAGCCTCTCCACTGCTGGGATCACAGGTGTGTACTATTACACCTGGCATCCCATAACAGTGACCACAGTCTAGGTAACCACAATTGTGCCATAAAGTTTAACCATTAAGCCAGGCGTGGTAGCACACATCTGTCATCGCAGCACACTGGGAGGCTGAAGCAGGAAGATGGCAAGTTTCAGCCTAACTTGGGCAATGTAGCAACTCAGTGAGAGAACTTGTGTCCAAAAAACTTTTTTTTAAAAAACTGGACAGGGCATGTAGCTCAGTGCGAAGGCTCAGAGTTCAATCCCAGTACCAGACAAAAGAAAACACAAACCAGAAAAACCACTTAACCATTATAAGCTTATACCTTGACGCCGTGACTTCCTTCTCACTCTGGAAATGAATTCAATTTAAAACGGAAATACATCCAAATCAGTCCCCTACCTAGCACAGTTCAGGAGGTTATTTTGGCCTCAGACTATAACGCAGAAGTTGTCATCATCTATGCTAACCCTCTCCAGTCCACCTCCCCTCACTCTCTCCTTGCTGGGTTGCTCTGCTTCTGCCAATCCCCTTCCCACAGTTCAAGAAACACCCAAAGTCTTCGCTGGGGCAGGATGGTGCAAGCATATAATCCAAGAATTCAGGAGTCTGAGCCAGGAGGATCACTGGTTTAATGGCAGCCTAGGCTACAAAGTGAGTTGCAGGTCAGCCTGGATATACATCAAGAGTCTTTCTCAATAAACAGAAGCAACAAAAACAAAAGAAATACACTTAGGTCTCAAATGCTCTAGGGTTTGCTCGGAAGTCACCTTAAACTGAAATGCTCTCTTCTACTTGACACCCCCTCACCCTAGCTAACAGACCTAAGTTGTATGCTTTGTTCTTAGTTTTAACCTTTCACTGTATGTCCTAGTCCCTCTTGGAATTCCATGCTTTCGCGTGTGTGTGCGTGCGTGTGCGTATGTGTGTGTTATGAGAGACTGCAAGGCTTTGGGCATGTTGGGCATGCACTGTACTAGTGAGCTACATGTCAGCCCTTTTCAAACTTTCATTTTGAACAAGATCTCAGTGAATTGTCCAGGTTGGTCTCCAACTTTTGATCCTCCTGCCTCAGACTCCCTAGTGCAGTAGTGAGGACTTAAAGGTATGTGCCACCACCCTCAGCTTCATTAATGTGCTCTTCAATCCATACAAACTTGCCAGTATTCATTTAAAATCTTACCAGACAGGTTGTAAGTCCCACGGTAGGAGTGTTATGCCTATTTCTTATTCTATTTTGTATCTGCAGATGGACTGGACCCAGCCCAACTCTGTCTATGTGAATGATCACTGCTCCTGTGACCTTGGCTGAGAGCCCAGCAGTGACGCACTGGATTTAAGAAATTCAGGTACTGGTAGATTATCAGAAAATAAAATATCCCCTACAAATATGTCACAGGTTGCAGAACACAAACACTAGGCATGCAGAAGTGGAATTACAAAGTAAAAATGGATTAACACTCATAAAATATCTGCCCAAGTACAACATACACCAAAACACTCTTTCTGAAAATATACTCGAGTACCATTACTCACCATGGATATGGACAAAACAGTCATTTTCTTTTCAAAATAACTGCCTTGCGGTTAAAACTAAAATCTGTTCTTTTTTTTTTCTCCTGAAGAATTTCCGCACAAGTTTTGTTTGGGTTTGTTTTTTGTTTTCTTTGCCTTGTTTGAGTCAGAGTCTCACTATGCAGCCCAGGCTGGCCTCGAACTCTCAAGAGATCCTCCGGCTTCAGTCTGCTGAGTGCTGGGATCACAGAGGTGTGCCACCATGCCCAGCCCTAAACAAGTTTTTTAAAATGTTGATTCAGAAACTGACATATAGGTATAAGACTCGAGGAAAGAAAAATACTTAATGTACAGTAACATTAAACATACATTTCCCCTCTGACCTAGAACACACATCATGAAAATCTTCCTCAGAGAGTGCACCTCCACAACTGCAAAAAAGCACTATGGAAGTTTATTCACCGCGCATTTCTCACAGATGAGCAAAAAACTGGGGAATGAATGCTGAGGACAAGATATTCCTCCTGCTAAAGTCTTAACTTTCAAGTTTCTTTTTTTTTTTTTT